TTAAATTCAGCCATAAGATATCTATTGACGGCTGTGACCGATAAACCGTTTATTTGATTTTTTCTTGTGATTATCACATAGCCTTTTTTATAAAACCTGTTATAAAAATCTTTAAATATTGAAAGTCAGTTTTCATCATCATGGATTTAGTCAGATCCTGTCCCTTGACTGCCAACACATACTTACACACCTCCCCTGCTTAAGGTATAACATTATTACATTATGTCTTAAGGAGCATTAGCTGATCACATTGCATAAAGCATAACATAATACATTTCTGATCATACATACTGTAATGACACTTAAAGGCTTTGCGGCTGATTGTAAGAGCAACACAGATAAACTATTGTGTTCTGTTACGATAACCAACAGGAAGTTGAAAAAGTGTTAAAATGGCGACCTTTCTTTTTTTGATATAGTTTTGAAAACAGATTGTTTCTCAAATAAAAAACCCCAAGATATTGATAATGGCACAAATAAATTACCTTCCCTGTCCAATAGGTAGATTTTACAAAAACTAAATTTTGATTATTGAAAAAATGTATTAAATACTGCTCACCACCTTAAGGCTTCATCAGTGTGAATCCCCAGAGCAAATCTCCAAGTGAAAATGGCGGTTCGGGCAGATACTGTCTTGTTCTGACTCATATTACAAATATGTACAGTAACTTCCGGGTTACAGTTATGGTTTTGTACTTTAACCACAAAACACACCCAAATACAGAATGAAGTGATGATGTTCCTGTCAGAGTTTTAATTAGAACAAAAAAATCTAGCTGCAAACAGTCAAAGGAGCAAAACTGATTTCACTAGGCCTCTAGTGTTTCTAACATTTCGTATATATATATAAATATATGTCCTCTGATGTAAATAATTAGTTTGTAGTTTCTAGGAAATTACATATATTTTAATTTTCAATATATTTTGCTTCTTTCCCAAGTGTGCAGAACATTGTTTAATAATTGGTCTTGTGGTTGTATACAGTATGTACTACCCTCTGGAATGGAAAATTAAAATGGGAGAGCCAGAAACTCTAATTTACATTCGAAAATGCTGCAATTTAACTCAGCAACCTATTGTATCTCATGGCTCCCACTCAATAGCAAGTCTTTATTATAACAGTTGGAGAGATTTCATTCAAATCTGAGTTTCTGTTAGCAGGCTTTTGAAAGAGACTATGCTCATAATTATTTATTGTCCTGCATATCCAGTCATACAGTAATGTGCTTTAAAAGCATTTTTAGATAGAGAAATGACAGTATGTGAAGCAGAATTTAACCTTTTCTGTGATATTTTTTCTTCTTGTGTTTGACTGTTCAGACAACTATATTAGAACCCTGATCATAAGCTCTCAGTTAGACCAGAGTAACATGTCAAGGTGGGATTTATTTCTAAAGGCCTACTGTTGTAAGCTTCTGTAAAAATTCACCCAAATCTTCAGACTTATATTTCCTGCTGTTGAGGAGGAAAGGGGTTTCTCAAGTCGCATATCATGTTTGTTGAACAAGGATAAGCTGCAGGCTATGCAAATTTTTAATCCTATTGAGTAATGGTACATGAGACTAAGAGAAAAATAGATATTTTGTTTGTTTCTAACTTTTGAGTTACTTAAGCTAAACAGACTGAAAGGTAACTCTTATTTGCAACCTTTATTTTCTTTTAACATCACTTAAGGGTTGGGCTGAACAGAGATTTTCTTAAAGCCATTTTTTTTATACAGGTTTAAGTTCAAAGAATGTCTGTCATCTCCCAATTGCTTTGAATGCAAAATACATCAAACTCTTCTAAACTGGCCTGCATTAACCAAGTTCATTTTAGCTTTTGGCTCTTGTTTAGATTTAAATATATTAATACATTTTTTTTCTGGTTTCTTGTAGAATAGGAATTTCCCTTTTTGTATTAGAATTTTTATTTTTGCCAAGTTGTAGGAAATTGATGGTACAAAGTCTAATTTTCTAGAACAGATAATGCATAGCCAATTACTATGATGGAAAAAGGTAATATACAAAATATTGTTGTATTACAACATTCTTTTTGTAGACAAAGATTATGCTTGTCAAATACTATAATTTCTTTTTGTTGCTTATCGTCATTCATATGTAAATGCCATCAGAGATGACCTTTCATATACACATGTATAGCCTCACAAATTAATCTGTGACATTTATTAAGGCTTTCATCTGCTACTGCTACAGTATCTGAGGTAATTTAATTAACATAATTTCATTATCTTTTTTCACATTTCAGTTTGCTTGTTTTATAAAAACTGTGCACTAGAGAGTTTATTTTCAGTAAACCTGATAAAGTATTCTCTGTGGCTGCTTCATTCATATTGATTCAATATTCACCAAGGAAATGTTATTACCCATATAAATTATTTCTAAGAAAATGAATAATTTGCTTTTTTGTAGTTAATTGCTTAGATTTATCCAATATTCTATTCCACTTTAAATGTAAAGTGTTCTTCTGTTTACATTTCTCCAAATGTGAACTTTACCAAAAATAAATTCTGGATTACTTAAATCCTCCTTTTAATGGAAGCAAGGAACTGAAATCGTTACTTTGAATAAAGGTGTCTTTTAAATGACAACTTACTGTATTTATATTAGGCAGTCTATGTATAAACCTTCACTGGATCTGTGATATGGTGTAATTTTAAATTTGTAAGAATAACCTGACTAGATGCAACATTCCGATTTCATCTGGGGTTAGTATATCTTTTTTCCTTAATTAACATTTAAGCGATTTGCTTTTAGTAATGTGCCTGTTAGTCACATCAGCCTGCTGTTATTAAATAGTTTATCCTCTTCTGTCATTTGGATCAGAGTTTTAATCTATTCTCTCATGTTGGGATAAGAGTTTTGTTTTTAATTATTTTAAAATTCCAATGTCTCTGTAAACAATGTCTCAGTGGTTATTCCTACTGCCCTACGTCTGTGTACTCACGGACATGTACAGTATATTAAATGTATTCTTCCTCAAATTGTGTTTTTAACCACATCTATACCAAAAGACGACAAAAGACGGTCAACAGCTGGGCATTAATATTTGGGCAGCATCCCAAACTATTCTATAATATGGCATTTTGTTGTCATACACATGTAACACTTGCAATGGAGTGTGCTGAAATTACAGTATGTACATTTAAAAATGACTGTACACTTAAGTTCTGGCTGCTAAATAAATATCCTACATGTTCTGCTGTGATAATGAGAGTGTAAAGCCCTTCTATACAAAATTACTAAAAGCTCATCTGAGATTAAAAGGTGTGTCCTTATTAATATTTCATATTACACTTTTAAAAAAAAAAGTGTTCATTTTAATATAGCACCAGGATGCTACTAGCAGACTGAAAAAGATCAAATTCTATGAAGCTCGTGTTTTTGGTATATTACGATATCTGCTATTGTAGTTTTTGCAAAATACTACCTTCCTTATCAAATTATAGTGTCTCAAATTTGTCTAAAATTAAGACATTGCAGAACTTTAAGTCACAGAGCAAGTGGTTTGCCATCTTCTCAAATGTTTTTCTAAGACGATCAAATTAAACAACCTGAATGAGAATACTGTGGGGTATTTTAGAAGTACGTTTTTCATTTTTAATGGAAATGAATTCACAAATCCTCAAATAGGAATTCAAAATGACAAAAGACAGACAACACAATCCGTTATATATTTTTTTTAATATTGTATGTATTGTATACACTTTCCATGAACCAAAATTACAACATTATATACAATACGTTTGTGGAAGAGGATAGCATAGATTTATATATACTTATAGACATAAAATTATTGTATAACAAATGTACATCACCTTAATAAATAAGAGAATTAAGTAAGGGTTTTAGTACCCAAGTTCAGTTGATATATTTAGGGTCCCAGCTACTTACAGATGAGAAATTTGGGTAAAAAAAGGAAAGCAACAGCATAGTGGCGATTTTATTCAGTCCACCACTAGATCTGGAAATGTGTGTTCTAGTTGGTTTGCTAATATTTGTGGTTCAGAAGTCAGATGCTGTAAGTGGTTATCCATTTAATATGTCCTTAGAGGTGTAGGCTTTGTGGATGAAATGTTTCCTCAGTAAGATCCATCTTTCTAACCTATTTTTAGTGAAGATATAAGCTGTATTTCTTTTTACATCCTGAATAAATGAGAACCCACAATTTCAGGCAACAGACTGCAAAGCTGAAATGATTCACTTAATGACAGAATTAGATTTTGAACTTCCAGACAACATATGACATGCGTCATATTCTGTATTAGTAGAAAGCAGGCCTTCCTTTGTATCAGAAAAAAAAAACATTTTTCTCATTTCTCCTATTCATGTGAAGTAATGGCATTGGTTCTAAAATCCTTTAATTGTCTGGCTTTCATCGAAAGTTAGAGATGGCTCTTTCCTCTCCCCCTGAAACGTTGGCATGCTTTGACTAGGTTCAGTTAATTTAAAGACAACAAAGTGGGTGTTTTGGAATGTATGGAGGGTTACCAGCCACTAGCAGTCTGATCAGAGGATATCAGATGAGAGGAAGGTTTTCTAGTTTTATGTTTTGTTGAAGGGAATAATACCTTTGTGATTTTTAAATGTAACAGTATAAAATAACTAAAACAGACACTGAATTATTTTATGGGCCCTTCTGCCAGAGTCATTGTAGCTTTGAAGTGGCAGCTGGCAATGCTAATAATCCACTGACAACACCAACATTTGAGAAGCCATGGTAAATATTTTTATTAATGTATCTTCTCAAGTCCCTTAATAACAAGACATTTACGTCTGTACTGTAAATGTCTTTTAGTGGAACACAATGTAAGTGTTTGTCAACATACTGTGTGCAGTACAAAATTTATTTCAACTCAATATTTTACTTTATAAAGAAGGGTTTTGAAGAGGTACTCTTTGTTGTACACACCCAAGACGTTTTTCAAAATTCATATCTTGAATCTACCATGCTGTGGTTGTCTTAAGATAGAGAAGTTAAATGATGATTTGTTTAATCTGTACCTGTATGTTTCAATTTTCCACCAGAAATTTCCTGATTCAAATCTGAATATTCAGCCAGGAAATTGGCATTATAAATACTTAAACTTAATGAAACCAGGTTTTTAGCAGGCAGGTAACACAGAGCCAAGTCAGTAATAATTAGCCACACATTTTCATGATTAACTGCAGCAGTGTCTGATGACCCAATTAAATCAATTTGTTTGACTTGGTAACTGCGGCCAGGTGGAATGAAGAGTAAAAGATCTTGTGGAACTCCATAACAGATGCTGAAGAACTTTGAGATAGAAGACAGGTTAATGGCAGATATGTTATACTGAAAATTGGGCTGTGCCTTTTCATTATGAAAAAGTAAAGGACAACAGTATTTTGGGACTACAGTTGTGATTCCCCAGTTAATGGCAATTCTGATGCAATGTACACCCATTTTACAGATCTTGGAAGTATCATCCAGTTTATTACCAGCAAAAAGAGATTACATCAGCAAAATTACCATCATCCTACCAGCACAAATGTTAATAGTAGAGGACTTTATCAAGTCCCGTTCCTATAACACTAATGACAATTTTCCTTCCCATTGTCTGCCTGCTAACCAGACAATATTTCTACAACATACAGTATATACATATTTTTCATTTGCTTGAAAAGGTAAAGGTCCAGTAAAATATCTATTTCAATAACTGTGCAATAGGATTGCAGTTGTGACGGCCGCAGTTTTGCGCGGGCTCGTGCCCTCCGCCACCCGTTTCGTCCCGCAACACCTGGGGCGCCAACCCAGGTCTCCGGCATAACGCAACAGGGAACCAGCCGCATGAGCTAAAGGAGACCCTCCCTAGCCCAGGCAGCTGAGGGCACAGTGAGGGCGATGACGTCACCGTATCAGAACTAGCTCTGCTACACAATGGCATTTAAATCGTGGTTTGCTTAAGCCTGTCAGGGCAATTCTGTTGACTTGTCAGAAATATTACTTTTACTTGCATCTAAACCTCCACCTCTAATGGAGGACTAATTATATATGTCTCAAACTGCTGTGCATATCTGGCAGATGACTGTGAGGCGTAAAGACAAGAAATAATATTTCAGAATTAAAAAAAGTTTTATATTAAATTGTCAAACCTTTAAGAAGGCCAGATTGTAGGCCTAAATTTTGCTACAGTAAAAAAAATTGGCCTTTTCTCATCACAGAAGATTAAAGCATGGTCAAGTTGCAGGTCCATGTTATGTACACATAACATCTTAAAAAATTAAATGAGAAACTTTTCACATCACGGCAGTTTAATGTCAAAAATACAAAACAAAAGGGAATGAGCATATTTGTACATTCTTATTTTCCAATTATTTTTTTCTTAGGGTTTAACAGTATGACCATAAAGGTTTCTTTCTTTTTTTTCTCCCTAAAATGTTTCTGCATCTGATATATTATCTGAAATATTAGTTGTCACTACACAACAAAATTTACTTAAAAAGATGCCTTAAATTCACAATGAAAACTGTAATAGAATAACAAGTGAAACTTTTTTGCTCACAACAGTTTTTTTTTCCTCTCTAGCCTCATGTGCAAGAGGTTTGTCCTTTATCTTTTAAGATGTAAGTGATGGTTAAGCCAAAGTTTCTTAAATTACAGGCAACGTGACTGCAAAACATCTTGATAAATTATGTCAGTTCTCTGGGTACAGAAACTTATGTAAATAGTGGTAGGGTATTATCTGTCCATGATATGAGAAATAAAGGAATAAAAACAAAGTAAGGGGCAAAATAAGGAGATTGCACAACAAGGTATGAAACAATGACATTATTAAGGTGCTTGCTTTCCTTGATTAATTATCAGTAAATTTCACAGGCACACAAGCTTGAGCAAAAACAAATGAACTCCTCTGAGAATATCTTTGCATTAGGGAAAAACAACACCTCAATGCAAGCTAACCAAGTAAGAATAAAACAATGGTTCTAATGAACTGAGGACCTGTTTTTTACTGAGGGCAATCCACGTTATTTCATTGTTTTAAAAAGTACATGATTTTTTAAAGTGATAATTAAAATGTTAACTCAAGTTTCAAAGTATTCAGGGATTTGAGCTTAAATTTTGAAACTTTTCTCGTAGGTTTTTCACCAAGCTCTGTTGGCTGCTTTCAGTTTTTTTCATGGAACTTGATGGAGCTTTCCGGAATTCAGTGGCCTGGTCAGTCTTGCTTCCCTCCTCTCTCTGGCGATACTCCTCTGACTCCTGGTAGGCTTTGCACCGCTCAATAACAGCCATGATGGAGATCTTCTCCCTGGTCGTGGGGGAGCGAATTTGCACAAAGCTGTCGTCAGCCTCCACAACCTCACCTGGCTCAGAGACCGCTGCATCTGACTCCTTCTCCTGCATCTTCTCTATTACTATCACCTTCTGCTCATTAGGCAGGGTGGCCTCTCCGGAAACATAGTACGTGCTTTTCAGGTCTTTGTTTCTGGGTTTCTGGATTTCGCTCAACTGGAGCCCGCCGATTCTGTGATCCAGGGAGCCCGTCCTGCAGACCCTGGCGTGTGGATGGCTCTGGCCTTCTCCGCTGTCCCTTTGAGGAGCCCTGCAGTCCCAGCTCTCAGATGTGCTGGCGGAAGCTGTTCTGCCACGGGCGTCCGGTGGCATGGAGGTGCTGGCGGAGTAACTGGACCGCCTCCATTCCGGGCAGCACACCGAGCTCTCCAGCATCTTCTCTGGGACGGAACAACTCCTGCCCACTGGTAGCTGCTTGGGATGGGCTCTGTCGGTCCCCCGGCTGGCGTACTTGGATCGCAGCTCACGGACATCAGGCCAGTTAAAGCTCTCGGACTGCACGGGACTGAGGGGACTCTTGGAGCGGGCTCTGCTCGGGGACAGAATGCGGGGGCTCCCCCCTGCCGAGGCCGGGCTACGCACCGGGCTGCAGCTGGAAGTGCGAGCTGGGCAAGGGTACTGGAGCACCGGAGACCTCGCGTGCAACGTGGGACTCATCTCCTGCAGGACGACTTGATCAGAACTACTTAGAGCCAGAGTCAGGACAGGTTTTTCTGCAACACAGCAATGCATCAGTGAAACGTTCAACCAACAGCAGGAAATAAAGTAAATAAGGTTCAGTCAAAACAAAACCATGATGAAAACATTTATACGTAGAAGGTATTCAATCTTCTTTACACAAATAGCTAATGTGACCAGAATTTGAAACAGTCACTAAACAGATTGTTTTTTCTTTGCAACTGAGTTGCACTCCATGCAATTACTTGAACCATGCTTCAAAGAAAACACAAGCAAATTGTACAGATAAGTACTTACAACTGATCAATCAGCAATTTAATTTATTTACAGTACATGTTCTAAATTGTTGAGGAACAAATCGATACATTATGACTTGAAGGGATAAAGCTGATCAAAACTCTGTGTAAATCCTATTGATATATATATTGATATAAACTGCTGTTCTGAAAAAAATCATAGGCTTTACTTGGCAGCTTTTTGTGTTAAAAGAAGAATGAGCATAATACAATGTACAGTATAATCAAGAATTAGTGTCTTTGATTAATGATTCAGCTGTATGAAAGGATGCTATTGGATTTGTTTTCTTAATGTTTAAGTTCAAAAGATACTTTATGTTCTTGGTTAGGGGTGGCCTAGTCACACAGTGATTAACATTGCTGCCTGGGGTCCTGGGTTTAATTCCTGGGTACCTAGCTGTGTAGAGTTTGTTATTATCCCTTTGTTTCCTACAGGTGCTCTGGTTTTCTCCCACAGTCCAAAGACGTGGGCGGAGCGGTGGCTCTGTGGCTAAGGATCTGCGCCTGTGGCTGGAAGGTTACCACTTCAAATCCGTTCAAATTCGTTGCATTTGTACTCCATTGGGCTCCTGAGCAAGGCCCTTAACCCCAACTTCTCCAGGGGTGCTGTACTATGGCAGACCCTGCACTCTGACCCAAGGCTCTCTCCCTATCTGTGTGTCTCATGGAGAGCAAGCTGGGGTATGCAAAAAGATAATTCCTAATGCAAGAAATTGTAGAGGGTTAATAAAGTAATGTTATTATTATTATTATTATTATACTGGTAGATTAAATGGCTTCTGTAAAAATTGGCCCTGGTCTGAACATGTGTGTGTTTGTGTCTGTGTGTGTCCTGCGATGGACTCTCATCCATTCCAGGGTATATCTGCCTTGTGCCCAGTGCTTCCTGGGATAGGCTCTGGGCCACTGTTACACAGAATTGGATAAGCAGTTATTGAAAGTGATGTGATGGGATGATGTTCTTGGTTTTCAGAAATCCTATAATGTGCACTGCTTCATAGCTTTTCCATCATTTCAAGTTAATTTTTATATAGTGCTCTTTATGCCAAAGCATCCCAGAACTAATACCAAAACATACAACAAATATATAAAACTCTACAATAAATAAAGGCATAATAAAAACAAACATGTCTTAACTTTAATTAACTCAGCTTTCAGAGTGCCTGATATCAACTGCAAAAGAATTCCAAAGACAGGGCGTGTAACAGCTAATATCTCAAAAAACAGCTGATGTTTATGGATGATGGACAAGGATGATAATTGTGGAGAGTGTTACTAGTGCAATTATAAAGTCAGTACAAAAAATGCAACCAATGAAATGATTTTAGAACTGGTGTAGCATGTTAAAAGGTTGAAAATTCCTAGTGATAAGAAAGGGACTGTAAAATGAATGCACTATTTTGTGATAAAAGAGATCAAAATCTTCTGCCGTTATCAAAACCTTAAGAATACACCTAAGACCATTTTCATCAAACTGATTAAAGATATCTGGATTCAAATCAGGCATGTAGGATATACAGTAATATTTTTGAATAAACTATTTCTTCAAATGAAAAATGTCTTAAGTGAATCATATTGTGTTGGCCTTGGGGGCCTGATTAACACTCTAGGGTAGCAGGCAACAAACAGCAGAAAAATCAATTGAGAACTATGAATAGAAGAGATAGAGCCTTTTCTGATTTTGTCAAAAGAAATACTGTAATTAATCAAAGCAAGCATTTTAAAACACCTTGATCTTAACAAAATTCACTGCTTTACTGTGCATAAGATCTACAGAAGTGCTTAAAATTTTATGTACGAAATTATTAGGTATTTTAAACCTCTCCGTTTTTTTTAAATCAAAGCAGACTTTGTAAATATATTTCTTCTGTATCTTTAAACATTAAATAATGTTTCCATTATTTAATAATGAAGCCCTAAGGCTGATGCACATGAGATAAAAAAACTTACTTTTAGAGAGTCCTACAGGGGTAGCATTTCTGATGAAGTAGTTTCTATTAGAAACTGCCAATTACAAATCAACAGCAAATTGCTTTCTTACTAAACATCTGGTACTCCATGTAAAATCATGCCCTGCAGCAAAAAGCCTATTTTTTTCTGATGCAATTCCAATTTCTCATCTTGAAGCAAAACCTACATAATATTTTTTCTTTGCCGAAGTGAAACCTCACAGCCGAAGGTTGTATAAGCTTATTACTCTGTTCTGTATCATTTTAACAAAGTTTTGAGGGATTTTATAATCCAAAGGGAAGAGAATGTCCTGCAGAGTCTATTAAAAAAAAACAACAACAAAAAACAAACTCACCTTTGTTTTCTTTCTCTAGTTTTTCCTCCTGCACTGATGGTAAGTTCCTCTTATTCAGCTGGCCCTCTCCCTCTCTCCCTCTTGGCCTCACCACAGGCCTGGTGCTCTTGATTCTCTGACTGTATTGTCTTGCCAGATGGAAGACCTTATTCTTCACTTTTTCCATGTCTTGTAGCAGTGTCTCTTCATCAATGCCTGACCTGAGATGGATGATTCTGGGGACAGGTGCTCTGGAAACTCTTGCTCCAGTGCTCTCATCATGTACCTGGTTTGTTTCTGACACGCTGCCTTTTCTTTCGAGTCCAAAGATAGTTGGAGAGATCTTATCTGGAGACAGCACACAAGACTCTTCTGTGATTGTGCTGAGATCACTTTCCTCAAGTATCATCAGAGGCTCACCGTATTCTCTGTCAGCACTGCCATTGCTGATCTGGCCTTTCCTCAACACTTTTGGACTCACTCCCCTTGAAAGATTTCCTTCAGTTGACTTCAGTTCACTGCTCTGTGGTTTTCCAGGAGTGCTGTTTAGCTCTTTTTCCATCTCCTGCCACACTGTAACCATTTCTGTAGATGGTTTGAACTCCTCATCAGTAATAAGAGTTTCAAAATTATGAGACTTAGACTGGCTACTAGGAAAGTTCACAGATCTTTCAGTTTCTGTCTCTAAAGGCATTGGCTTATTGTCCCTCTCTGTGGCTGGGAGATCAAAAACAGTCCAGGAAGCTGGCCTACTGCCAATGTCACCAGCTTTACAGGCAGTGCTGTCCATTTTTTTCACAGTTACAGGAGCAGGGACAGGATCATCCTTGGGGATGCTGTTGAATCTGCATACAGAGTTTCTGACAAGACCAGCAGGAATGTAGGTCAGGCTTTCCCTTCGCTTGATACTAAAGCTGGCATCCTGATGTTCTGCATGTTCATAATAGTTCTTAATCTTGTCAATAAGCAGGCGATCCTGTTTGGACAAAGTAGAGTCTCTCCTCCTGAAAGACGGTCTTTCTACATCAAAGAGGTTGTCTGAGTTTGGGGACAATGTCATGATATCTTGGCTGGCAGTGCCTTGGGAACCCACTGAGTCCTGAGTAACCATGTTCAGAGGGGGCTCAGAGCAAGCGCTGTTGAGTTTTTGAGCTTTCTCAGAGGCCTCCAAGCTTAATACACTGCTGCTTCTGCTTGTTAACCTTGGGGAAGGGCAACCAAGGGAACGGACATCCTCTGCTATTAAACTGCTCCTTCTGGACAAGTTACTTACAAAGCGTTCTGCAATGATACTGGCCTGGTCTAAAACAGAAGGGGGCAGAATGCTGTCCGAGTCATGCTCTATTGCCGTCTCTTCCTCCTCCTCTTCAGAAGACTCCCCACTGCTCAGGGTCTTTGCCTCCTCTCTTCTCTCATGGGGCAAAGACTCTTCAGTTATCTCCTCAATCACCTCATCCATGTCCTCTCCAGCAGTATCCTCAGGACCCAGGGAAGCTTTGGACAGCAGGTCTGGTATTCCAGCCGTCTCCAAATCTGAAGGATGATCTTCTATGCACTTGTCTACATTCTCTGATTGGGCAACATTGTTCTGCAGCTGTTCCTCTTCTGCAGGGGGCTACGACAGGAAACATGGGAGAGTGTATTTCATACAGCTGCATCATATTCAAATTGAAAGCTTGTCTTTAGTTTAAAAGTATTAATTTACCGAATGTTTTTGGAACCATCTTAAAAGCGAAGCAGATAGACCTCTATGGAATTTATTAGAAATCAACTACACTTAGGATGGTAGTAGTCAATAAACATATTATAGCATTTTAAAAGTAGTATATCTTAACTATTGCACTTAATAATTAGTGAACATCGCTGATAGTATTGGAGAATGCAGATACTTATTTTTCATACTTTTTGGTGTAATAGTCTTACTATTATTGAAAAAAGAAGAGAGAAAATAAAAAAAACAGACCTTTACTTCATTCTGCCTTAACTTTACCATTTCTAATAAAGCAAAGGTTAACAGTATAGCACTGCCCTCATTTTATTTGTTTTACAGCATCCAGAGGAAAATAAGCATTCTGTAAGTAAGGGCGACACAAAGGCAAAGGACACAAGGAATATCTTTGAGACAGGCACTCCACAGAGAAGTCTGCACTTCATCTAGCAGATTGTCCTCCACATCAAAGTAATTTTAAATGGAAACAAAAAACAGATGATAAGGCTTTCAGTACATCAGTTACTTCTCGCTTATGTTTAACATTTCATAGAGAAAAAATCATTTGTAGCTTTCTGGATATTTCTTGAGTAAATAATGTATGCATTTTCCAAAAATAGATATGGCTACACTGAAATTGAACTGATAAAATGACTGTCCCCAAACTAATACAGAAAAATGCTATCAGAGTGAGCAGATGGGTAATGATTAAAGTAATGTGTCACTGTGTATTTTTGGTGGTGTGAAAATTTGGAGTGAGGTGAAAAAACCTTGGAGTATAATTCAACAGAAGGGGATGAAGAGTGAATTTGATTAGAATTGTATAAGGCTATTTTAGTCCAGATCAATCTGTTTTTTTGGCATCATCAACACTGATTTATCACTGCAGAGGCACTTCCTAAAGCAGTATATTCAGTTAAAATTAATATTAATGGCAGACCACTTGAAGTTTTAGTTACATTATTATTACACTAATGTAATAATAATTGAAACTCCATTTACAGAACTTAATTAAGCCCAGCACAATTATGGACTGTAATTGAAAATAAAAATGAGTAATAGAGCTTGGATTTCTTCAAACTTTGACTATGATCAAATGCAAATGGCATGATCCAGCAACGACACTTATCTTAGCTTTTCTAAACCCCAGTGTCCACTGCCTTCCATTCCATCTACAGTCTTAAATTACAATAAATGCTTATTTGAGTTTTCTGCATATTGTGAGAGACACTTTGTGCAGATGTGAATAAACAGGAAGGCTTACATAGCAGAAAAGTTTAACGACATGGAATTCCATAAGATCAGGAATTGGCTGAATGTGGCTGGAGATACAGTATGTGCAATTAGTCCTGTAAGTGGTATGGAAAGTGGTTTAAAGTGTAGTATAGGTACACAGTCATTCATGATGTACACAGCCTTTATCACTCATTAACCTGGATTTGTTTTCTGTATGTCTAGGAATACATGCCCACTTCACTAATACCAGTTTACCTGCACTTTCCTTTCCAGCGATCCACACAGGTCTTCCTGGCCAGATGACTGGCTGTTTTGCCTCTTCAATCCATTTTCTTCTATTATGTTAGAGCCTTCTTCATCCTTAGAAAAAGCAACAATATAAGAGATGTTCAGAGTAAAGGTAAAGGCATTTTACAGTACAGTTCAGCAATTTAAAGCCATTTTGTTATTCTGTATAGCAGTTAACACTAAGGTTAATTGCTATTCTGTTGTAAAAAGCAGAGATCTCTCAAAATCCATGACATTGCTCCCAGCAGCTTTTGGGGATTTATGCAATTACCAGATCCTCTCATCTGGATCTTGGATAATATCCTAAGTAATCTAAAGGTAATGTACTGGTTGTCAGAAATCTCTCTTAACTCCTTTATATTTTGTGTGCTAACTTATAATGCACACACCTACAATTATATGAATAATTAACCTCACACAAGAGCATGTTTTCTTTGTATTGTGAAACCACTAAGCAAAGAGTAATACTGTATTAACTCTCTATAGACACACATGAATTAAAACATAAAATGACTTCTCCTGAATGCAAAGCAACATTGTTTTCAGAAATACCCTACATCTTACTCGACTTATCAATAAAGACACAGGATGACATTCCATGGGATCTCAGTAAACAGCTTATATCTTGTATTTCCCTACATTTAAATGTGTTACTTCAGTAGTATTCTCTAGTGTGACTGATCTACATTATCTGCTATGGTTTCTGCTAAAGATATGTCATACTGTATACTATCTGGACATACAGTAGCTAATTGAGAAGAAATGCAAAGGAGCTGTATGAGTGATGGAATAAGTTCAATTTATTATATTTTATCAAACTTTTCACCGTATGGTGCAATATTAATTTGTTTCCCCTGCCCACTTCCTCCTAATTATCACTAAGAAACTCCATTGAAGGTAAAATCAATCTGTTACTTAGCAACAGTAAACGTTAAGCATATAGCAACTGAATATCAAATATAAATAGGTAAAACCTGAAAATTTAGGTAAGATTGATCTTTTATGAAAGATAAAATGGTGCATTATATATACCATTAGCTGAAATGTTAACAGCCCTACATGATCAAATATCACTTTCTTTCTAGAGTTTTCATTCTACAAAATCATCTAGACACTTACAGTAGTAAAACTGATAATTTTTAAATACTATACCAAACACTAGATATAAGTATTTAAAGAATAGATTATTCTAATATTAAGGCAGGTCACACCAGAACTGTTTTATCAGTTATTGTAAAATGCTACGGTATGTGTAACTTGATTTTAAAATGCTGATATTTTAGAAGAGATCTATGACTAGGTTTGTTAGCATTATCAACATATAAAAAATCTGATAAAATCATGCACGAACAAATCTTTAATGTATGTCATTAGTGCTGTTGACAAACCAATACGCAATTTAACGTGGAAATGCATTATGCTCAATCGAGTGGTTTGCTAATTATTGACAAATGCTGCTTATTACCATTTTACATGAGTACAGTATGTAACCCCCCCAGTGCTGTTGAGAGCAGCCATGAATCACTGCAAAATGTGCTCATTTTCATGGAATGTGTGGGATCTAGCTTTAGTTTTAGAAAGCAAGTAACACCTTCAGACTCGGTTTTGTTTATGGATGCTTTTAGCTTAGTATTTCATTGTGGAGTACACTGTACTACTTACATTTCCTGTGTATTTATGTTGTGATTGCTGTATGTCCTTATACTTAATTGAAATTACCTGTACACACATTATTAAACTTTATATCTAAACACAGATAATTAGGCTGAATAAAACTATTCAGGGACCAGAAGTATGTTAATGCACTGTATGTTGCAGCCTATGCAATACTGATGCTAATATGAAATCAGAATATTTCCACAAGCCTTAGTGTAAACAAGCTGTATAATGAAGTGCATATAACTGCTTGAATAATGCAAAAAAAAAATCAAACAGAAATGTTTCCTTTCAGACAGAATACATGCTATATCACATTTAAACACATTTTACACAAGTACTTTAAAAATCAGCCAACAAACCCATGTAGGAAAAATATGATCCTCTTTGTTGTGGCATTCTAAATAAACCTACCTATACGTACAGTAAGTGTACATTGTACAAAGTTTTCAAATGTACGAAACAAGCTTCAATCATCGTTTTTCATTTTGGAGAAGATAAAATTAATTTTTGCATTCACAAAAATATATAAATGCAGGTCATGCAGTATCTTGATTACTTGTCAGTAGTTAAAAACAGGTTGATGAAGGGTGACCACCTTTTCCAGAGAAAAAAAAAGAGTACACAACTATGTACAATAAAACATCAACCTTGCTTTAACAAAGTGCATACCAGCCATAGGAGTACACATGGCACATACGACAATGTACCATGTTTTAAAATGAAAACATAATATAGACACCATATTATTAAAACTATCGAAGATTAGCTCTGTAGATGAAGGCTGAATAGGTCATTTTACTGCTGTACTGGAAAAGAAAAAGAGTGAAGCTGTAATACAATGATCAACTCATACAGCAACTTCTGTTCCACCTCTGTTCCATAGCCAAATGCTTTTCATTGCCTATTGTTTTGTGTCCAAAAGGCAAAAAACACTACGGAAATATTTCCCTTGGAATAGGGAATGGGTAGTCACCCTTGTCTTCAAGAGTTTCTGTAAGTCAACAATGGAGAGCTTGTTAGTGCTTATGATTGCAATTAGTGTTATTTCCATGCATCTTTTGGGTTTTTGAAAGTGAGATGTTCCAAGACTTATCAAGATACTTCCATGCAAACTTCTGTTAGCTTCAGGCAGGCTTGTGAAGTTAGTCGGTTAAAGCTTTGTAAAGGACGAGCAGTCATCAAGCCTGGCAAAATTTATGTAGAAAAAAGACAAAGGAAACCCATTGGTGACAGAGAGCCTCACCGTTGTGTACCGAGCGAAAAGCAAAGCCCTGGCCCTATAGTGCCAGCAGGAGATGGCGGCCAGCATTGAGCTGGCAAAGTCCGCTACCTGGTCTTCCCCCATCAGTATCCCGTCTTCCATATTCTCTCCCTCCTCAGCTCCACCAAAGGAGAGCTGTGTTTCTTGGCTAGGCTCCTCACTGTCACTAGGAATCAGCTGCTCAAGAGAGTCTTTGCTTAGGCCCAATTCTTCGCAGTCTGTCCTCTCCTCATCGTCTTCCATACTAGGCCTTTCAGCCTCGGGCTCGCCTAGACTTGAGTTGCTGACACTAGGTCCAACGTGTAGGGAGTCCCTGTCTTCCTGCAGGGCCCCTTCACTGTCTGAGTGCTGTATGAAGTTACAAACATTTCTTTTTGTTATCGTATAATCGACTCAGGGGAGCGATTTCAACACGATATGATAAAAAAATTCAACACTTAAACTTTTGTATTGTCCACATTATTTGGTAAATTTGAATAGCATATTTTTTTCTGTAATCGATTTAACTTTGAGTTTTGTTGCATACACCTCCATAGTCATCCAGCACATGGGTATTGTAAAGCTCTTTCAACTTTTGACAAAATATGTCAAAATCCTCATTGGACCATCTGAGTGATTATAGACTCAGGTAAAAATAAAGCAGTGAGTATTTTAATCAAGCCTCTCCACTGAAATAATGGTGTAATCAAATAAAAAAAAACTGGAACTAAATTGTACAGAGGAAATAATATGTTCTAATACCAATAATTTTTATCTTAAAAATTAAAAGATTTTTTTTTCAGTGTAGCTGCCTGATAAAATCAAATCCCACTTTTGTAGCACAAAAGGAGGGAAATGTAGTACAGTTGACATACAGTAATAGAAATGACTGAATGATGGTTTCAGAAATGTCTGTGCATGTAGAGGCATTGCATGCAAGCAGTTTCTATGAATATCTTTGGTTTGCATTACAATATTCCCCATGTCTACATTTTGCCTTTAAAACATTCAGCAGACCAACAGTCAACTCTTCTTTAACTTTTTCTGTAAACACATTTACATTGTGTACTTATGTGAATATCTTGAAGGGAATGAAGTACATATACATGCGGATATACCTGTATACACTGAAGAATCTTGTCATGGAAAAACACAAATATGCAATAAATTAAAACTGCAGTTGAATGTTTTGCTTTTAAAATGGAAACCCCCTGAAAACTCTTTGAACTTAAAGCAAATTTAAAACTGATTTTTGGATCAAAGGACCTACAGTATAGCATGGTATTATTTCATAGTGATTGGATCAGTGAAAAAGGCAAAAGAAGAGCAAAATATACTTGACTTATAAGTAAATTCCTTATCCTTACCTTGAGAAGGGCTGTAGTATCCAACCAGGGTATGGTAGAAACATGAAAAAAGCAAAAACAGTGAACAAAACTGGTTTAAATGCATACATGAAAAGTATCATTGTCCAGCTACTTTATTATGCTTGTTGAGGATTTACTGTATACCATGATGACTAACATCCATGCATATACAGTACGTACAATATCATGAAGTGAGCTGAACAGGTCTCATCCCATACTGTACGAATTTATCTGACCCCTTTTACTAATAATATTTCCATGATATTACACAAATTATTTTTAGGACATGAGAGTATAATCTTGATTTATTTAGGAGATAACGCTAACTTTATGCTGATCCTTGCAATTGACGTAATACAGCCTTGTATATGTAGATAATTTACAGGCTTTTTTCTCAAGCCCAGTCAAGAATGTTTGTCTTACAGTCCTCCACATTAGCCACAGTTCTTGCACTTTGCAAGAAATTCAGAGACTTTTTCATACTTTTTACCTTTTGTGTTAACCCATATAACCCATATGGTGTTTTATAAGTTAAGTGATAAATAAGTACAGTTACAAATTGCTAAATTGTGCATCACTTGGAAACAGACAGGTGGATTAATCACAGCAATGCTGCTTTACAAAGCATGAATAACTCAATTAATAAAAGAAACTCGGGCACCTTTACCTCCTGCTATTGATTGCAACAAAAGTCTTATTCCCTAAATAAGCTAGAAAAAATGTAAATGAAAATGACAGCTTAATTAAGCCTGCTTCAGAAAATTTCACATGAGAAAAAATACATAAACATACATGTATATAAACAGTTCAGTAATATTTCCCTTTCATTCCTTACAAATTAAAATTCATAAAATGGGAAATTCACTGATCTCAGGCCAAAACACATTTGACTACTCAAAAAAGCTCAAAGCATCACAAAGACTTAATAATGCAGCAGCCGCTCTTTTGTCAAAGGAGAAAAGAGAGCCTAGCGTTTGATCTCCTCAAGAGGGCAACAGTTCGGTGGCTATTTTTTCCCCGATCAGACTTTGAAGGGAGCGTGACTGTTCAATATCATGGTCTGTATCGCAAGCCCTCCGTCCTTAGTCATACGAGAAGAGAGACATTTGAGAGGAAGAGACAATGAAATATTGAGGACAACTCTCCCGTACCCTCCCACTTAAATCTACCTCCGAAAACTGGACTAGAGTATTAAAGGAAACAGCCTAGGCTATATAATAAATCCAGGCACAAGCATCACAAGTAATAATCATATAAGGAAGAACATAAATCTTTTTTTAATTATACCAAGTACATTTAATTAACTTGATTTGACAGATGGTGTGAAGAAATTTTGGAAATGCATTTTATTTTTTACTCTTTTTAGCCCTCTAAGAAACGTTTACATTTCTTAACTTTCCTTATTTCAAAACATACTGTAGATGAAATGGAAAGCTGTTTTCTTACCTTTCGTGCTCTTGATAATCTGTTTAGTAGGCTCTAAAGATGAATGAGAATATAAAAGAAATTGATTTGGTGGAAATGAATTATCTGAATTCTTTAATTCACCAACATAATAAAGAATAATACTAATCTTCTATTAATTGATACTGTCAAATTCACTGGCATTAAACAAATTGATTCAGGTAGGTATAACTACAGTAACTTATCACTTCTTATTGATGTACAGTTGTGAGAAAATGTTTGTGAATTATCTGGATTTCTGCACGAATGGCTCCTAAAATGTGATCTGATCTTCATCAAAGTCATAATAATAAATAAAGACAGTCTTATTTAACAAACAAAATACACAACATTTAACATTGCCATATCTTTATTGAACAAATGGTTTAAACAATCAAGGTCATTCATGGAAAAAGTATGTGAGCCCTTATATTTAGTAACTAGTGGAACATCCTTTATTGGCAATAACCTCTGATCTAGCAATTCAGAGGTTAAATTTGTAACTGAGCTGCTGATCAGACCTGCGCAGCAGTTAAGAGGTATTTTGACCCATTCTTCTATACAAAACTATTTCAGATCATGTATATTTTTGGGATGTCTTGCTTGAACAGCCTGCTTCAGATCACGCCACAGCATTTCAATGAAATTGAGGTCAGGACTTGACCATTCCCATCAGTGCCCTTGCACTGATCTTTGTAGGATGCCCATTCCTAGGGAGAGTAGCAACGGTGCTTATTTTTTTCCATTTGTAAAATATCTGCCTGGAGACCCAGGTCTTTAGAAATCCTTTTATAATCCTTTCCAGTCTTATGAGCTTATAAGCTTCAATATCTGAAATATCTTTTGATCATGCCATATTGCACTTCAACAGAATTCTGTTGTGAAGAGCAGGTAAGCAAAAACTGTGACTTTTTTATATGGCAGGGCAGGTCAAGCCTACACCTGAATTGATTGGAACACCTGACTCATTGATTGGAATACCTGACTCCAATTACCCTCTTTAATGATGTAATTATGCTAGAGGTTCACATACTTTTTCCATCAATGACCTTGATTGTTTAAACCATTTGTTTAATAAAGATACTGTATGACAATGTAAAATGTTGTGTGTGTTGTTTGTTAAATAAGACTGTTTTTATTTACTATTATGACTTAGATGAAGATCAGATCACATTTTAGGAGCCATTCATGCAGAAATCTGGATAATTCCAAAGGGTTTACAAACCTTTTCTCACAACTGTATAGTGCAGTCACCTTAACTTTGATAAAAGCCTGGTTTTATCAAAGTATTAGCATGTGCATTCGAGTAAATTAATGGCAGATTGTTTTGTATAATTTATTAAGTGCCAGTTTCAAAAGTTTTTTTTGTTTAAATTTTGTAAAAGTTAGATACTTCAGTTTAAAACCAAACAAGTGAAAGATGTCTGTGAATTTTAACACATTAGAAATGGGGAGCAGATGGGTTGAACCCAGAAACAGCCAAACCTTAACTGTTCAGATGCATAAATTGGAGCTTGGCCATGGTGCCATCCCAAAACACTAGCTACTATGCAAGGAGCCTGAATCTCTTGGACTTAACACATCATTTCATAGTGGAACAAATATTTCAATGTATGACAATATTTTAAGAAAATAAGCTCGATTATTTTTTAAGGTAAGACTAATGATCTTGAAAGAGGATTTGGTAAGTTTTTGATTTTCTTTGGAAAATGTTTTCTTGTACATATTTACGCTGATTTCTGTAGTGGGAGGACTATCACACTCACCAGACTGCCTGCGACCTTGCCTTCCTCCGCCTGGAAAGTCATCAGACTGGCACGACATGGCTTTCTTCAACCGTTCTGGGCTGTATTTGTATTTGCTTGGGTCTGTCAGTGGAAGAAGGCTATGAAATCCACAGTACTTCTACATGTTAAATCTATAACACCAATAATAAATAATGGATCAACCAAGCTCTTCCTGTCAGAATAAGAATGTATCTCTCCTAGTTCTTTCTTGATGTGTAATACTTTGTAAAACATAAAATGCCACTTGGTTTATTACTGCTGTTTTATTACTGTTATCTTTTAAAATGTCTTTTACTGCCTGCCTTTCCCTATTCTCCCATTTGCTGTACATATGTTTTTCAATTTATTGATGTGTTGCTTTGGAAATATGTATTCAAAGTGAATGGATAAATTCTGTAATGTTGATCTTTATTAAACTTTCTTATTATTTTATCTTAACAACTCTCAGTTCTAACACTTACATATAGAGTCCATTTCTAAGATGGCTTCCTTTGCCTGCAAAGAAAAGAGGAATCAAGTACTTAGACTATAAATCCAACGACTTCTACCTTATTCAAATATGATACATTCAAGTATCAAGGATGAACCTGTATACAAAGAAGCAGGAATCAAGATACCTTCTGTGGAATGATGGCATGGTGGTTTTCCAGAATGAGCCTTTTAATATGATGGGTCCACAGTCTTTTCTCTTCAACAGTTCTAGCCTGAGGGAAAAATGAAGTGGTTCAGTCATTCTGTTAGTTTTGGCCTATTTATTAAACTTTCCTCACCACACATTTGCCTGTAGTCCCATGTGAAGTTCCAACAGACAAAAATACTAAACAACCCCATCAAAGAAAACCTGCTCCTTTACAAGCATAACAATATACAGTAAATGTGTTGAACATGCATAGTAACATCATATTCTACAGTTCTGCATTAATTAAAGAAAAACATTTTTTGCGAATGCTGGCTGTATCAATGACAAAGGTCTTTTCTTCGCAAACAATGAGAGATTCACCTGGACAGTGTGAGGCTGTTTGGGATGTTTGTAGTGCGTCACGCTGAAACTCAGAGAATCTTTTGCACTTTCTATCAACATCAGGGTGGAACACTAAAAAGAAAAAAAAACATGAACTCACTGTTATTGCAGCTTATATCTCCATTTTTGTTAAATAAAACTTTAAATTAAATATGTAAAAAAACAACTGTTCTTTTAAGAGTATTAAAACACTCTAGCTTCCATTTCTATTCAGACCAAAGCACCCACAGGAATGCAATTTTGGCACAATACAAAACCAATTTTATCCAAAGGGATTATTAAAATCAAGGGATCGCAAATATATCTTTTGACTGAAAACTTTTTGTCCTAAAGCATTAAGAACTTGGGTGTCACCCTGGACACCGAGCTTCGATTAGACCTACAGTATATTCAACGTTTAGAAGAACTGCCATTTATAACTTGAGAAACACTGAAACAAAGGCCTGGATAAGAAGAATACAGAAATGCTGGATCATGTCTTTATAGGTTCCCTATTGACTGCTGTATGCCATCCAAACTCAGGCTTCAGCTTGTTCAGACTGCTGTTGCTAGTTTGCGGAGTCACATGCATCTCTCTGATCATATCGCTCTGGTGTTTAGGTCTTTGAATTGGCTGGCAATGAATTTTCAAGTAGACTCAAACATTACAAAATCCTTCATGGGCCAGAACCCACTTGCTTTGAAGAGATTCTTTCAGCATCCTCCCAAATTCACGTAAAAAGCTAATTTTGGGGTAAAAGACACTGAAGACTTATCTTTTTATTTGCACTTTTTACCATTTACTGGATTTGTTACAGCATATACCTTGTTTGTAATTCTTTAAAGCACTCTACGAGACCTTGGTAGGGCTCTGAATGAGAATACATTTGCATTGTATTGCAATATGTCATGGTTGCAAAAATCTTCCAAAAACATGTTCAAAACTACTAATGGCTAGCTGAATCCTGAAAAGAGGGGGTGATGGTTTGAATGGTCTCCTGTTATTTATAAATGACTTGCGTTCTTTCCAGTGGAGGATTGCAGCCTAGTGGTATAAAGGAATGGAGACGGCTCTTTACAGCTATGGCTACAGTACAACCTCTGTGTCTGCCTGTGTTCTCTCTAGCTGGGCCCTTAATAACCAGTGCTAATTCATGTATGAAATTGTCTGTCTACTTATTTAGTGTTTTCATTGGTTTAATTTTAGAAATACCCCCCAACAACTTCAGCTAAAAGAACTTGAAGCAGAACCTCCTAAAATTAATTAAGAAGAATTATTTAAGAATTCAGTCTCTCATTTCTGACTAAAATCCCTGAATAGCCAATTAAAGGAAAACGAAATTGGCACAGGACCTGTATTGATTATAAACCCTGTATTACTTCTTATTTTCCAGAACAAAAATATTAAAAATGCATCCAAAAGAGAGAGCTGAAATCAATTTGCCAGAGTGTTTGCCACTTGGCTGGAACAAAAAGCTGAAGAGAAAGTGGTCCCAGAGGATACAGGACTGAGAACCAATGGGCTAGACTGAGAGCCGTCTGTCCAGCTCTTCTGCTAGGCACTGTTGCACCACACATTAAGAAAATAAAAGTACATCAGTGAAATACACTCCTAAACAGAGACCATGCTGACCACCTACAGTAATGTGTGTCTTGTAGACATAGTGCTCTCCTCGCTTCTTAGTGATAAGTAATGTCTTGTCAAAAAGGAAGAGGGTGCGCTCATTCTTGGCTCGGTGAACTCGGAAGGTGCCCTCCAGGACCAGCTCGCCATAAGTGGTTAGGTCAGGGCCTTTCCAGTTGATCAAGAGAGACTGGATCTCCTGGAGAAGGAAATGCAGCAAAGTGTTAGATAGGTGAAATCATAGAGCAATATGAAATATGCATAAATGTATCAGTTGCTGATCACCACATTTATATAGCGCTTGTCATCCCAGAGGATCTCAAAGAGCTTTACATATGGGATAGAACTCACATCATCCACCACTGAAGCATCACTACTTAGCATCCAGCTGGGTGACGCACACTGACAATTATGAGCCAGCAGCCTCACTACTAATTAGGTAGAGAAAAGAGAAAATGCTTCAAGACAATTGAAATAAAGGGGATAGTGGGCCAAATTATTTAAGCCAAGAGTAAAATTTAGTCAAACAGTACTATGTGATCCTTAATGACCCACTAGTCAGGAACTTGGTTTTAACATTTCATTAGAAAGATAACACATCTTACAGTACAGTACTGCCAGTTGCCATACAGGGACTTTCTGCATACTGGGTTTGAAAAGTCTGGTCCAGAGTGAAGATTGGATCCAGAGTCCAGAGTGGATCACTGAACCACCTACACCAATTACAGTAGCAACCTGTCTTTTTCTTGGAGGTTTCTTATCCCAGTACTGACCTGGCTCAGTCTTGCTTAGCTAGAGCTACAAGGTGGTAATACTGCTAATTCCTCAATTGTTAATGAGGGAATGAAATTCAATACAGAATTTCAACTGCATGCACCTAGATTTTACTCTTTATGCATGGCTCCCAACAGCCATTGTAAGAGCAAGAGAAACACATTTATTTCTGATCAACAGAGCATACCAAAACAAAACAAAACAAAACAAAACAAAACAAAACAGCAGTTTTATAGTTTCTTTTTTATGCTAGATTAAGAGTATAAAAAATTAACTAAAAAGAAAAAGTTAAAAACAGTGATCTGTTTTAGTCATGGTTGCCAAGATGTCCTTGATGTCAGTTAATCTGTTTAAGGAACAGATTTAGCTGACGTAATGTATTGAAGTCAGATTTATTTATTTTGCTGCAATTACTACAAGACAACAGATCTCCATTCTAACAAAATTGGTATTTTTCTCACTGATTTTATTGAATATTAGTAAAAACATACCTTGGTCATATTTTCCATCAACACAAAGCATTCTCAAACTGGCTAACAATACAGTTTACACTTGTAACAATAAACCTAAGACATGGTTTAAACTTTTACGGCCTTTTGTTTTCTATGCAATTTAACTGGGAGTACAAAGGTGAAAATGTTTATAGATGATTGGGTTGCTTGAGCTACTAATGTTGCACTTTATTCAGAAGCATGCACCACATGGTGGATGACAGCAAATAATTAACATCACTATGCTTTGAAGACTGAAGCACTGAAAGAAAAGAGGAGCCTTGCAGAGCATCCTGGCCAGAAATTGTAAAAGAAAACAATAAGACATTCCGTCGTCTGCTACAATAAGTTACATTAATGAATTAGCAGACCTGGAAAGATTTTGCCTTGAAGCCTGTAAGAGCACTACAGGAGATGTTAAAAGCTGGCAGAGTGAGTGAAGATCAGTGCCAGGTTGGCACCAGTTGTGTGCGGGTGTCGATTGCCCACCTGCAGCCTGACTGCATGCTCGTGTTTCCTCTTCATGTCATTGATGTACCAGGCCACACCTGTCATTGTGTAAATTGCCTCCTCCACCACTTCATAGCCCTCCTCTTCAGGGTCAAAATGCCTCGCAATTTCCTGAAAAAGGAAAAAGGAAAATAAAACAAATACACACTACACAGGGATAGCAAAATCTCACCTCAGATACTTTTTTGATGATGATTCTTTTATATTCAAGCTGTTAATGGTTGAGTTGATGCGCTTCACTCACAGGGTTTGATCATTATAATTTCTAGGTATTTAACAAATGGTGATCTAAACATTCTTACGAAACAAGCAAGGTTGATGATTTGGGGTCTCATTCTGCCTCACCTTAAGGGAAACTTTATAAAAAAGACCACTTCTCTTATCAAAGAGGCCTCTTAGGGCCTTGTAAACATTTTATTTTTAAAGCTTTTAAGCATTGTAAAGCTTCAAACCTTTACCTTTCTAATTAGATAATCTGTTTAACCTATTTCATCAGATGCCTTTTTTGCAGTCGTTGCTAAACACGGATAAACAAAATGACAACAAGTTCTGCAAGCAGATCAGGAAACAAAAAACACTGTGTGAACAATAAACTGCTTTGTCAAACTTTATGGTGCTTGACATTTACAAGACTGTCCATCTAAACTGGCTTGTTCGAAAACACAGAATCAGAAGATTTATTTAAATTACAGCATCACAGTGCTTAGTACTACTAAGATGCTTTCTAAGGTTTATATACACCTAACATAAAAACTTACTATTCTCCTTCCCTTATCATTCCCTTTATAGCTGTATCTTATTTAAACAAACAGATGGATTTTGGATACTGTTCAACTCATTTTAATAAACTGATCATTCAGTTTATTATCATTGTCGTGAGTGACAATGATACACTCAAGTGACTGACTGCTGCATAAGCAGCAAATCATTAAAAAAAGAGTGGATTTGGCACAGGCAATGAGGTGGTTTTGCCTTTTTGATGTGAAGCCTGATAAAAAAGTACCAATATGGCCCTGAAGAGATCTACGTCTTTTTGACACTGGCATAATAGGGCAAACCTTAGATGGACTTGCCAGCAGTGGAGACAAATCCTGTTTAACAATGAATGAAGATTTTGTGTTGACTCTGCTGGACGTCAGTGAGTGCTTTCTGGGAATAGACGTCAAGCTGCTACAAAAGTCTACTTGTAGTGATTGATGGAAAAAAAAGTTTTAACATTTAGCAAAAGTTATTCAGAACTCCTATACTGACATGAAAAAAAGATAGCTGTAAATCAGAAAAATTGTTGCCAATCATTTTTTAGCAGTTAGTATTGAAAAGCTAGCAGTAGTTGGTGAGTGTGGGGTGCAAGTTCTTTAAAAGGCTCCTCTGTTGGGGTGGGGAGCGGGGGTGGGGTGTTCATTCTCTTGAATTGCACCTAACAAAACACAGATTGCCGTTTCTCCTTCAGAGACCGGATGGTGTGTTTTCTCTTGCCAGATATCCTGCTTTGCATTGGTCTCAGTGGGCTGGGCCTCCGTACCTGCAACAGCAGGTGGTATTTGAGGATTCTCTGAACGGGCTTCAACAGATAGGAGCCCAGCGGGAGGGACCGTTTCAGCGAGGCCTGTCTCTCACGGAAAAACTTGGCCAGCGTCTTGCTTCTCATGCATTCTGTCAGTGCTGCAACTGAGCTATAAGGAGAGATTGAAGGAGAGCAATAAGGATGATTAATTGGTTTTAGACATTGCTCCACTATGAAATGCACTTACTTTAAATGCATCTTATCTGACAGAGCTCCTTAAAAATTGTTAGATCTAGTCTAAGATGGTATAGATCAACATTTAAAAGAGAAATTTATATAAAGTTTTAACACAACCTTACACATTCATCACTGAATCTCATAACATAAATTTGAACTTACTGGATACTGAGTTTAAAGGGATGTACTGTACATGTAGAGGAATGGAATGGAAATATGTAAAGTCACTATAGAGGACATTGTGCTACCACATATAGCCACATAAGTCCACCAGCATTTGGAATTCTGCAGGAAGAATTTTACTTCAAGGAAGGAGGATGTCAATCAACTCATGCCTGGTTGATGGAAGTGGAAAATGTGGTATTGGGCATCGTTCCAGAATATCCCAAAAATTCTTGATTGGGTTCACATCTGATGACTGATAAGTGAATGTCATATGGATAACATTAGTGTTATGCTCATCCAAACACTGGATGAACACATGTGCTCTGTGCATGAAGGCATTGTCATCCTGGAACACCCCATTCTCAGCAGGAAATAAACGCAGCAACATGGAGTGAAAATGGTTACTTAGTACCATTACCTAGCAATTAGTATAACCTTCTAATGGAATGAGTGCATGCAAACCATGCCAAGAAAATGTACCCCACAAGATTACAGAACCACCAAAACCCCTGACTTTTGGAAATGAGCACAAAGGGCTGTAGAATTCATTAGGTTGGTGCCAGACTCAGCACCATCTGAGAACATGGTGACGGATGATTCAACTGACTATCTCACATTTCTTTTTGGTATTCCATTGCCCATGCTCTATGCACCCGTGAACTCACAAACATGCAATACACTGTGAAGAGCAGTTTGTGTAGTGCAACCCAACTATAGTATCTTGTTCTGTCGAGTGCTCAGAGGACCATTTCTGATGAACCTGGATGTTCAAGCCCCAGGTCTAAATTTGGAGTCAATTGATTTGCAGTTGTTCACTTAATTTGTTTAGAACTTAAGATGAATACAGAGAAATCACAATTCTGGAATATGCATCTCTGCCCACTGTTGACCTTTGTTGATGATGTAACTACTTTGGTGTTCCATACTAACATCACCTTAGACAATGTTTTTTTATGCTCTAAATATTAGCAAGTTTAGCTGTCTTGGTCACTGAAGCTCCTGCCCAACAATAACCCCTCTTCACTGTCACGGAGATATTGTCTTGCAGTCACGCTAGCCATAATTATAGGCAAGCAGACCTGTAAAGCATTTTTACACATGTCTGTAAGCATGCTGAGATGTTATTTGCTTTAATAACACGAGTCAACTTGTGTGGAATCCCATGCTTTCAATATGCTTAATATTCCTAATTTACCCAGGTTCCTTCAGTTTTTTTGTCCACTGCCTGTAAATACTAACATCTTAAAAGTGAAAAGCAGTTTTACTCTTTACCTATCTGTAGATGCAATAATTGAACTCAAAATTTGTTTTGGATTGAATTCTTAACATTTCATTTTCAGAAAATGTTAATCAAGACAAATAACTAATTTTCTGGTTTCACCTTTAAAATAAAAGACACTATCCTGGAAGAGGCTCCCTCAGTGCAAACAGTTTAAAGACTTCTCTATCCTATTTCTTGGCTTAAAGGGATATGAAGGTAACATTGGCTGCCATATAGTGTGATGATTTAGTATGTAGGTGACTTATCACAGGATAAAATAAATCCCTTTGCAATGTTTGCTCCTCTGATCTAAGCCAAAAGAAGGAATCACAGGCATGTCTGAGACTGACGCACACTTATGTCAAGTGTTGCTGCTATGAACTGAAACACAGAACTGAAACATCAGTTACATTTAATCATACATACTCTACAGTGTGTGCGCTTCCGGGGATTGAAGGAAAATCACAAAACTTATCACATTTTGATTAAATTGCTTTGTGTCAAGCTTCTCTTTCCTATCTGCTATATATTCCTGTAATCCTGAATTATGATAAAAAGCAGTGTTTTGTAAGAGAATAACACAGGGAAAAAAAAAACATTAAGAAATATAGGAAGGGTATTTTAGATAAAGTTAATCCTTTTTAAAATTCTATCGTATTATATAAATCATATTTATAGAGATCAATACAGTGTATCTATGCAGCCTATTTCAGCAAAGCTGTATGAAAGTATTTGCATGTACAGTTTTCAGCACTAGGTGGCAGAAGCAGACAGCTGCAAGTTGATTCCATTACTGTATTGTGCATCATATATCCTGAACACCAGCTTAAGATGAGATAAACAAATACAAAAAAAAAATCCTTCCATAAATATAAAACTTAAGTGCTTCTCAATACATGTCACGTTTTTGACAAGATTAGAGTAAAAGTAATTTATCCACTGCAGTTGAAGGAAAATTGCAGAACTAGAAACAGGATTATACAGAAAGTATTATGCTGCTTGACTTCCAAAGTTTGGGTCTGTAATGAAATTCATGTTACTTGTAGCAGCTTGGTAATTATAAGGTATGTTGTGGATCACTGTGAACAGACATTCATCTAAGCAATGATCGCATGTGATACATTCTGGCCATGATGTCGTCTGCTATTATGCTACATGAAAACTCTTCATCAGAATCAAAGGCACAGGATTTACATTCTGAAGCAATACTGTAGGTCTGTTTTACAGGATTTGCTTACTTTGGGTAGTTTGTGCAGTACTGAGTGTAGATATCAAAGTAGTCACTCTAAAAGGAAAGAGGGGAAAAGAAGCATCAATCATTTGTAAAAGCCTGCTTGTCTGAAATTTTTTAAATTTATGGTGAAATTAATTTCTGTTAAAACGCAAATCATAACAACACTCTCTGTGCTTGTATAATTTTGGAATCAACACAGATTCGGGGCACCCTTTATTGTAAGATTATAATTCTGAATCTTATCTTCACATGACTAGAACAAACATTTTGTAACATAATGACAATAAGGCAGCTGAGCAAAAAGAGTCAGGAAAATACAGTGTATGGACACAGAAATAAAAAGGATTATTAACAAAAGGTGGGAATTTAGCTAAGTTGCATATTCTTTTTGATAGCTAACCATTTTTGAAGGCTCCCAAAAAGGTAACTTTATCCAAAGAAATACGTCCTGTTTTCAGCGCTAAATGCACCTGATATTCCCTTGTGACTAACATATTGACTTCTGACTCGTGTCACTGGTGAGGCAGTTTGTAAGGCAGACTTTGCCAAAGCATTTGAAAATTCTGAATACTGGCAATGTCTGATGACAAAAAGACACATTTTCTTGGACCTGTTTGTGCAATGGCATATCTGTGATACTTGGCATTAATCTAGTCATATTTCTTTGAACACTTTCCAGGACAAGAATGTCATTTTTGGAACACTGTGACTATAATTTAATAATTGCGTAAATATTAGCCTTCTTTGTTCAAATTATTAGACCGCCTCATGGTGGTCCGGAACTGTACATGAGTACTACAGTATATTTTCTCTGTAACAGGTTACTCATGACACTCTCAATTACACTGTAGTGTATTAACACAAGTGCATTAATTTCTCTTTCATTTAGTCTTTTAGACAGAGAAATAAAAAAAACTTTACCTTGTGTACAAAGCACCTTGCAACAGCCACAGGATCATTGTCACACATATCCAAAGACTGTAGGAGTTCACTTAAAAGAAAACAAATAATTAATGTCACACAGTGTTAGAATATGATATGCCCATGAATCACACAGATCTTTTTTAAAAAATATAATTGAGCTTCTACAACTCAGATATCAGGACCAACAGCCAACTCTTAATTAAAAATTTGCACAATGTAAAACAAAAATTATTTCCACAGCAGGATATTGTTTCTGTATGAGCCTGCACTTGAAACATTAACTCTACAATATATCTGTCACTAATATTGTTCTACCCATTTGATATGTTTGCAGTACACATGTTGCTCCTTCCAAATGTACTGTATTCAAACCCTTTCTAGTGGTGTCCCATTTTGTAAAATGCCAAAATGAGGCATACATAATTTTAAGCTAAATATTAAATTCAAAAGCTGAATGCTCAATCTGAAGATAGGAAAAACAAAAGAAAAATATGGTATTTGTTAATTGCTTAATAAGACCTGTGAACTCAACATTTGGTGGAAGCACCTTTGGCAACAATTATAGCCATGGGTCTTTTTGGATATGTACAGTATCTACCAACTTTACACACTGGTTTGGTGAACGTCTGGCCCATTCCTGGAATTGCTTTATGGACATCAGTTTTCACAGATCTACAATAGGATTAAAGTCAGGAGCTTGGAATGGCCACTCAAGGACATTCACTTTCGTATTCTCAAGCCATTCCAGTGTGGTTTGGATCACTGTCCTGCTTAATTGTGCCAATGTTAAGTCTGAAGTCGGTTGTCCAATAAGATTTGCAAGTACTTTGGTTTATCTGCATTCCCATTAATCTTAACAGGCTTCACAGTCCCAACTACTTAGAAGTAGAATTATAACACACTGCTGCCACCACCATGCTTGACAGTATTGATGGTGTTGACTACAGTAACTGAGGCATCAGATGAAATGCTTTCCATTTAGACCAAAAAGTTTTCTAATTTTGTCAAATTTTACCATAATACTTTGTTAATTTTGTACATTACTGCAAACCCTATATATTTTTTCAGTTCCATACAGACTTCCTTTGTGGAGTGACTGGGATATTGTTGACCCATGAACATTTTGTGGAATGACTGAGATAGTTGACCCAAGGACATTTTCTCCCATCTCATCTCACATTTGCTTTGAATGCGTGGACTAGGTTGTATATATAACAAGTATTAATCACTACTTGAAAGTTTGATGACAGCAAGCTTTAAAACAAAGAAAATGTGCAACTGTGCATTTGACTGAATACTTTTTCAAGGCTCTGTATGTATATATGTATGTAAAAACAGTGTCCATTACTATGTATTTATTAAACCAAATCATCCACGAAAAGCTATTGTTAACTGGTATTAAATACCTTAGTAGCAAAGATATAATTCAAATTTTTACAAAATGCTTTAAAAGTAAGCTCAGTTGTTTTTATCCATATTTACTGTGAGTGTACAGATAAACTGTGGTATATTTTACTGATGCACAGCAAGGAAAGAGGAAAAGCTAAAGTAATAGGATAATGAAGAGTTATTCATTGTTATTAATTATAATTGTTATTTTCAACAACCATTCTGCATTGTTGCTTCTTTTTATTTTTAAATCTCATAAATCACAGAATCACGTGATGGAACATAAGGAAAGCACAATTCAGCTAAACCCAGGCATGACATGTCACAGCAATTACTTATTTAAAATAAACCATAACCCATTTTTAAAAAATTAAAATCATTGTTAGTTATGAAGTATGGTACAAAATGCTTGAAAACAGAGCTAGGAAGTTCAAAGTGCAGATTTTGTACTGGCACTGCCACAGATTCCTACCTCATATGATGGAATATCTATCGTTCAGTATGCAGTGTATGTAGATGAAGCCACATCTGCACAGCCCAGCCAGGAGTCATACTCACAATGCCAAATGGTCAACCACTTGATGAGTGGTATTTGAATGCACTTGTCAAACTAGGAGAGAGACTTTGCCATAAGAGGCCTACTATACACAGTTAGCTTTGTTATATCTCTAGGCAGGATAGGGAAAGGAATTCACAAATAACACTGAATGGGGTCAACTTTTTCAATGTGCTGAGATAAATAAGAGGTAGGGATTATTAGGACTTGCAAATATTGATTATTATTGTACATGTACACATTCTGAAAAGTATTTGGAAAGAAACATCACAACTATGCTTTCTTTCCACATATAACACACTGAACAGACATGAACACCGTAAAATAACACAATGAATTAAAAAATTAAAAAATTAAAAAATGGGTTGAGCGAAGTTTTGGGGGGTATTCCTATGTATTTGGTATTCCGTTGCTTCACACTAGTTGAGTATGCAGCCACAGTGAAGAGATACATGACTGAATGTATAGTAATTGGCATCTGATTGGATAAATCTCATTCTGGAGAGTGGAAGAGATTATACTACAGGCAGGGAATAGGGATAGTATTTTTTAAATTAATATACTGGACCACAAATTACTATAAAAACACCTTCTACCTTCATATTGCTTTTGCATAGCAGCAAAATAGCTTTAAGATGTTGTTAAATTTAGAAAGGTGGCTGTAAAAGCTTTAAAATACAAGAAAACGTTATCTTTACAAACACTAAAATGAGTGTTATGGGCATGTAAAAAGAGGCTTTCGTGTTCTCCTGTTCAGAGCATGCAAAATTCTTTCAAGAGTGGTGCTCCGTTTTAGAGCTATGTTGAGCCATTTTCTTCAGCTTTTGTATGAAGATAATATAATGCTCTCATTAACCAATCTGCTGCCACCTTACATTACTAAGATGACTTTAAAGAACTAACCAGTACCACAAAAAAGGTTATAATCTTATAGGAATAACTAAATTGCTCATTTAATGTTCATATAGACCCCTGTCATTAATAAACCATTATCATACACACATTTTTCCAGTTGTGATTATCTGTGTTTCTATTTTTTGTTTTTGTTTATTTTATTTAATTATTGACAGTGAAACAAAAAACATCATTACAATTACAAAATAAAATTGAAAATGTGCTGGTAACAAAATGAAAGATTAAAATAAGTGACGTCTTTCTAAAAAAGCCCATCTAATAACTTTTAATGAGCAAGCGGTTGAAATTTAATTTTGACTTTGCCTTTGAGACAGTCTTTTGTAGTTCTTCGGCTCCATACAAAGACATTGGTTTGTTTGTTTTAGGCTGGTCCAACTGAACCCAAACCTCCAAAACGGTAACCTCAAATAGAATACATATGGAGAGGGCAGTTGCAAAATGGTACTTCTAGTTAAAACCATAAAGAGAAGAAAATCCACAAAAGCACAGCAAAGGAACAAACTGCAAACTGGCATCAAATACACACTATATATCAGCATGCACAGCTGGAGCTGAATCAAGGTCAAACCATTCCCTTACTTACCATCTCAAACCAAAACAAAGAAATGCTTCCTTTAGGGTAGAAATAAAAATGGAGGATGAAAACAACAACAAAAAACGTCAATAGACTAAATGAACAGGAAATAACATTCCTGGCCTCTGTCTCATGGGCAAACTGAAGCACTAACACAGTATACACGGTATACACAGAAGGCTGGACTCCTTCTGCCCTAGTGTTGGTATGAACTGCGTTCATGAAATGGTGATGTTTCATGTCACAGATATCAGTACTACAAAAAGTATGGCATGTGGAAATGGAAATGGTTTTCTAAAGAGAGGAAAATGTCTAATACAGTGCTGACTCCACTAAAGGCAAACAGATGAGAGTAGATAAAACACAAACAGCAGAAAATGTAATTTAATGCATGACTTGACCTTCTCTGGCACTAAAGTTGCTAGTTTAAAGTATAGTTCATGTCACTTTTCTGTTGTTTAAAGTGCTACTAATTGCATGGTAGGTATGCAATGGAAGGGATATTCAACTTTAGTGCTTGAGTGCCAGACTCATGCAAGTCTTAAAGGCACCTTTCAATTAGCAACTGATTAAGACCTGGAACATTAGGATCATTAGGATCTGAGCTGAAGTCCTGAAACCAATGTAGCCTTGAAGACCAGGATTGACTTTTCCTGCTAAAAGTAAATATCTGCTATGTCATTGTGAATATTGCCACCTTAATAAAAAATATCTCTGAACACTTTATAGAGTTATTGCCAGGAAGCGTAAAAGGAAGCTAAATTCATGTTGTGCAAACCAGCACATGAAGCAATAAGAAGCTGCCACGTGTAACGTTTATATGTGTCCTATTACACTTCCTTCATTTCATCTTTTAAAAATGCAGTATGTGCAGCAGCTGCAATTTTTTGTGTTATATTCTTAGGGCTCTCAGTAGCCTCAAATATTGTACTTTTAAGCAACAACATAAACTGTGAAAAAAAGACAGAAACCAACAATCTGTTTCTACCCAAAGGTTCTGAAAGGATCAGGACAAAGGTTCTGACTTTGCTTTGTTCCTGATCTTATTCGATAGAGGTACTACTGTAGATCACACTTATAAATGGAGCTAAAGGCTAAGGCATGAACGCAATGCCAGGGAGGTAATTGTTGCCTGTGATCTACATGGCCATTTTGTGGCTCAAGATTTTTTTAATGCTTTCAGATCATGTGCAGATGAAAGATGAATACATTTAAATTTTATTGCTAAGGAAAGGACTTATTTTTAACAAACAGCTTTGTTTTAATTTTCTCCAGCAACTGTAAAAATTGTCTTGGCAAGGAATGTAACCACATTATTTATTTTTTAAGAAACCACTCTGGCACAGATTTATCGTACTTCGGTGACATAGCTGTGCAGTAAATACACAAACTTTGGCTAGGGATCTAACAGGGCTAAACTGAAGAATGCATGGCCATCTACTCAGGCTACCTATTGTTTTACTCTTACCTTGGAAAAAAGCAAAGAAAAAATGCTTTTATAAAACATAACTACTTTATTCTGCAAGATGTATCCAAGATATTCTGCAAAAAAATCATCCTGGGTAAATGAGGGACATCCAGAAATTTTAGCTACACGAGCATTTCTATGAATGACACGTAAGCGTGCTGGGATGCCCTTTGCTTAACTCTTGCCTGAGTCACACCTGTGTGGAACTCCTTGCTTTCAGTAAATTTGGTTTCCCTCTTTTACCCTGGGCTTTGAATCATTAATCAACTGCTGTACCTCTACATAGCCCTTTACACGGTGCTTTGAATGAATGTTTCTGAATGAACATCATGCTTCGTAGATTCTGTCTCACTAATGTCCTGTTAATACGATAAGAGACAGCTCATGAATTTTTAGCACTTGACATACAGAAAAAGTGAACTGAGTCATCTATGAATTCAAAGCATTGTCATCTAGAGGCAACACAAACCAAGTAATGTCATCTAAGGACATAATCAGTAAGAATTTCATGTTTAAATGACACTTTAAATCAAAATGAAAAGAGTAAAACAATATTAATTCAAAGAGTAGTACTGTAAGTCTCACTCCACAAAACAAAACAAAATTACAAACAAAACAATTGATTAGGATTTGTATTATCCTTTCCACCTTCCACTGGGTAAAATCCATTTAGCTTACTATCTGGGGTTACAAATTCAGAAGTTCTAAGCACTTAACTGCAGCCTACTGTGAATGGGGAACGCGACCATTTTAAAGTAAAATCCATTTGTTAGTCTTCAAAGTACGAAAAGACAGGCAACCAACTATGACAACTGTGATGGATAATATCTTTGACTAGATCCAGGTTTAAACACTGAATTAAGAAACCATGAAAAGGGGGAAAATAATGTGAACCATTTTTCTTCAGCTGCAACACCATGAAATTGCACCTACCTGTTGAATTCATAGATGTCCTCAATGTTTCCAAACAGGGCACAGACTTGCTCAGGTCGGATTGGCAGGTCACTTGTATCAATAATGTGGGCCAGGTAATCCTGAACAAAGTTAAAAAAAATAGTTATTTTCATATCTGCACTAATCATGCAGAATTTACCAAGGGCCTTTTTTCTTTAAGAGGGTTATAAATAAGCTATACAGTATGTTTATTTGCATTTTGAGAACTTGCCTATCAAAATTTAAAAGATATGATGACTCAATCTGTAAATATAAAATTTAAATATGTGAACACTTGACAAGGCACAACCATGCCTCATAATTTAGAATCTATCATAATGGCAGAGATATGCTGTGTCATCTAGAGTTTCTGGGAAAAAATGAACCAGCTTACTGAAAGCAGCACCACAGAGCAGAAGAGGGCACGGTCATAAACCAGAAAAGCTTAGCTTTCAACAGCTAAATGTAAACCTTTAATACTGTAGTTTTTCTTTTATAATGCGGCAAACTATACTTTTCTTAAAGGCTTTATTGAATCAAGTCCAATATCTCCATTTCATTGTCATCAAAAATCAGGAAGGATTCAGTGAAGAAAAGAATCTGAAATAGCTTTACTCAGGAAAGCACTATGCCATTAACTGACATCATGACTCACTTGTTCTGCAACTTTTGTTCCTCTGTTACTCTGTCTAAATAAACAATATTCTATGTGCTCACATGTATGTTTGGGGGAAAAAAATGGGTGGATGGCATTTTTAAATTGAGAGGGCAAAATTTTCTAATGTTGATCATGGTAACAGTTTTTGGGATAATTCTATAGGTCTTAGGCTGTAGAAAGGCTACAAATAAGAACATGGGCTGCTTTTAAGAGACCAACAAGAAGCATCAGACATGGTATAACTATAGTCCAGTGCTGCTAAATTGCTGTTCCCCACAAACTCCATCACTCAGGAATCCTATTATATAATCAAAACGGAAAATGTTAATAGCTTGCTGAAGGATTAACTAAAAGTAACTAAAATGTGGATACACACAGATGGGAACATTTTCTATACTATCTGAACAGAAACTGTAACCTAAGGCAGGTTTCACTTAATGTACATGATGTAGGCAAGATCCATTTTCTAACTGCATTATCCAGTACATGGTATAAGGGTGGCTGTAGTCTACCCAGCAAGCATCGGGCGCAAGGCAGGATACACCCTGGATGGGATGCCAGTCCATCATAGGGCATACAACAACACACCCATGGCAAGATTTATATTTTAAGTATTTCTTTGGTATCGTGTTGTGATAATTTGAAAAGGATGGCAGCTATTCTAACAGTGTCCAGTACACAGGAAAGTTATCCCAGCATTGTGTTGTGACTGCTGTTACACCACAGTGAGAAATGGACTTATACAATGAAAGTTAAGCATTTAAAATGAAGGTACATATACTGTAGAGAAAAATCTGACTACCGATCTTCATATTCTTCTTTTTTGGGGATAACAAGTAAGAATAACAGTAAAAACACAACAGTGATATCTTTACTGGTAACTCAAATTGATGTGACTGATACGGGGCATTATTCTACATGTTGAAGTAAGGCAAAGTATAGTATGATATTATCTTTACTTACAATGGTTAATAAATGTGATCTAGCTGTTCTTAATAGAAGACTCTATAGATAATAATAATATTTCAACTGAAGTCAGTGTATGCCACTTGTGGAGGTAGCTATTTTTCTGCCAAAAAATGCATTTTTATTTCCTAAAGAATGGAGATCAGCTTGTGTTAACGGTTCTCTCAGAGTAAAACCAGGTGAAGATGGCAGTAATACACAGATCGTTAATGCATGTTGTATATACTGTACACATAAACCCCATCTTTAAGTGGTGTGTTATTGTAACTTAACATCTGAGGAATAAAATCTTCAGAAAACACCATTCCTTAAGGACCAGGAGAAAAATAATTTCAAAACAATTTCCTTTTAATAATGCTCTTTTTGACAGCATCATTGGAGTAGGCTGCTGAAGCAATTCATTTATCCCAGAAAACAGATTTCTCTTTCACTATTTCTGAACTGCCTCCTGGCACCTAGTCTGTTTTAGTAATCCTACTACAGGAGCTCCAGCTCTGAACACTGCACAGGCAGAGCCCCCCTGGGGTCTTTATTAAAATCTCCGGTAATGGCAAGGTTGGAATGCAGCCCGGGGCTCTTTCTATAGATTGTCTTTAACATGTGGGGTTTTCCTACACAACAGACCAGAAACTAACGGTCTGCACAAAACAGGGAGACACTGAGCCTTCGCTTTCAGCAACTACCAGAAGCTCTGCAGGCAGGCTGAATTCGCTCAGGCAGAATAAGCTTACACACATACTGTAGAGTATATACTGACTGAGACACAGACATATACTGTACTTAGTCACATGCCCAAGATCATCTTCCTTCATCATTTGCACTCTGCTTGACCAAACATAGTACAAGAAGGAAGAGTAAAATTGATTATTTTGGTGTAAATTAACATTATCCTAACAGCTGTTATGGACAACCTCTTCATCAGTGATACTGCAGAGCCAAAAATCATACTAAGGTTACTGCTCAACACAGAAAGTCTTTCCATTTACGGGATTTAACTGGCATACGAGGAACAAATTGCCAATCGACTGTTGGAACATAGTAATTATAGTGGCTCAAACATAACATTTATCAAACTGAGATTAGAGGTTGTTTAGTTCACTCATGGATTAAAAAAAAAAGATTAACGGTAACTAAAAATATTCCACCATACTACCTTCTAATACATTTATTCTGCGCAACAATCTGTCAGGCCTTTGTCACTTTTTAAGACTAATTAAAACTACAACATGTACACTAGCTGAGCTCAATGATGTTTGAATGCTTCAATATACTGTAGCTGAATTTAGCATTTACCAGAGAAGACCATAGTAGTGATGATTCCGGCTTTGAAGTTAGACCATGAGACAAAAACGTATTTCAATTCCAACTAAAATATGTAGGGTAATAGTAAACCATTTTTCCCATGCAATCAACTAGCACACAAAAGTGCTGTGCTAGAAACAAAAGTGTCAGTTTCACCTCAGTGCGTATACAAAATGAAAATAAACCATGAGGCACCGTGCCAGCAGATAGTTTATATAATTTCTGTTTAAATTTAAATGAAGCATGAAATATCACAAAATTCAATAGTTGTGCAAGTGTCCAACTTTTCCCAAACATCTGTGTTACAGTATTAACGTGCCACTGGAGAATGCAGCAGATGAGAACCGTCATCGGAATGATTTTGTGGTCTTGGACTTCAGCCCAGTCTGATGGACGTCAGCGAGTAGTGGTACAGACGTGCAGAGTGATGCATTAACTGCTGTGTACAACAGATCAATCAATGGGGATGATCAATTGCAATGGTCTGACCAGGGCTAATTGCAGGTCTAATCGCTACAGCATCGCCCACTGGGGAATGCCTTTTCATACAAAAAAAATGACTTCAAATAAGGTGAAAATATACAGTCCTCACTCATCCATCTTTTCAAAAAACGTTCATTTTAACTCTTTCCCCCAAGCAATCAATTGGTTACAAAAAGCACTGTGGCTACATAGAAAAAGTATCAGTTTCATCCCACTGCCTGTACAAAATGAAAATAAATCTGAAAGTACTATGCCAACTACTGCTTTTTATAATCTGTTTAAATTTACACAAAGCATGAAATATCTTACAGAATTTAATAGCTTTGCAAGTGTCCAGCCTTTCCTAAACATCTGTGTTACAACAAGAATGTGCCACTGGAGAATGTGGGACATGAAAACAGTCAGAAAAACAATTTACTTTACTCATCTTTTTTTGGTGGGGGGTCAGAGGAAGTTGAATCAAAGTTAGAAAGGAAAGGCATGCAGAAAATGACCTCTTTTGCTGACACTTTAATTCAGGTAGATCTGTCATTTACTTTTTTCAGGACAGCTGTTTAAACCAAACCTGAAATATAATGCAAGCTGGGCAGCCCACACAGTTGTGCTTAAGGCTGTAGGAAGATGTCTTTCCAAGATCAGAGGTAGTACCTTCTGGATGAATGGAGTAATTGTAATGAAGAGATGGCAGGGCATGTTTCATTTGTAGTAACAGTCCCCTCCTGTAGAAAATTATGGCTTCTATTTTCTAGTTATAGTGCTAAAAAATGGCAGAGCATTCGAAACTGGGTAGTCAAGAAGCCATCCTACTTCCAACACAGAAACAACAACAAAAAAAAAACAATGCCTTTTCTCAGCTACAAGTGCACTGTAAATTAAATTTTATGTTTAATCTGATAACTAGGTACTCCTGTGAAATATTTTCACATTTACATTTCACATTTAAGACTCACACAAATCTTAGCTTTTTTTGCAACTATCACAAGGGAAGAAAAGAAAAACATCCACATATGTCATCTTGGTTTTGTGCTCTTCAGCTTGTAATATTATAAGTACATGTAACAAACCAGCACGCTACCTAATACTGATTATCCCTATGGATCCCTATCTCTTGGAGTCAAGGATAAATTAACACACTAATCCACGAGCCATAAAAACAAGAAAAAACATTTTAAAAAGAAAAAAGTTTTAAAATAAAAAAACATTTGAGCATTGAATATACAAAATATACTGAGTACCAAAAGAAACACTATACATGCATTTTTTAAAGAAAATTTGTGACTAACTGTGATACACTGCAGTGACCTCTTAGCATAAGCACTAAACCACAACATTATTGAGTGTGGTGATTAGACACTGTGGGTAAGATGATCTGTTGATTGTCTAACCTGGGAAAATTCACAGCAACCCTCCATATCAAAAGATCATGTTTCTGAGGGGTCTCTGTAAACCTTGTACATACTATTTCTGTTGAAGCGGAAGTATTTAATAAGGTGGACATACCACACTGGTTTGAACTGGAATGGAAGAATGCAGGACACAAGGGCTACTATGTAATTCTATACTGTGTTATAAACTGTAGGAACACGTGCTACAAAACTAATCAATTGTGTTAAAAGAACTTATCTTTGGAAGAGGAAGATGTGTGCAATTCTGAAACGGTGCCAATCTGATAAGCAAAAGGAAGCGTGATTG